TAATAAATTATTAAAAAAAAATAAAAAGATTTTCACTAATTAAATAAAAATCTTTTTTTTTTGTATATATATGGGACCTTTGCAATAGAAAAGGAAACGGCTGAATATATTTATAATAATCAAAATCTTTTTAATATATTATAATCCTAAAATCTAAATAAAAGAACATAATAGTATTAAAATATATTTTTATTATCGTTCTATTAATTTAAATAAATATGCAAAATATGCATTACATACTTTTAGAAATTATTATTATTATTGTAACACGTAGTTAAAAGTATAATCATACGTTTACCAGCATTATAGTTTTTTTTTTTTTTTTTTTTTTTTTCAATATATTTGGATACTAATGCTACCGTAATATTTATTTTATTTTTTTTTCCTTTCAATTCGAAAATAAAATTATAATGGATAAATTCAAGGAGGTTGGTTGTAATACTTTTGTTAAACATCAAAAGAGTTTTAGTTTTGTAGGATGTCAAGACGAATATTTTTTTCAGCGTAGCGGACAGTGGTGTAATTCATAAAGGGGATGTACGTTTATATAGTTGTATATATTTGGGAAATCAATAATCTTACTTCCTCTCTTTTTATCTTTATGAATTAATACTATTGCGTCAATATTCTATTCTGTAAATAGTTTCTATATATACTCTTATATTCTAACCAATTTCAAATTTCAATAATAGAAAATTAGCTCTCTTCGCGGTGAACTTGAGGCTGCTCAAGCTAAACTTACCGAGTCAGAAAAGGATAAGAAAAAAGCTGAAGAAGAGCTTTCGGTAAAGGAACAAGAAAATAGCATGCTTCAAAGGAAAGTTGCTCAACTTGAATCGGATTTAGATGAAGCTGAAAAGGGTTTCAAAGAAGCCACGGAGAAGTAAGTTTTTAAGATTTTTTAAGATTTTTAAGATTTTTTTTAATATAGAAGACGTCATCTTCCGTAACCCATTACTAAAAATATTTTCTAACTTTACGTATGATTTAATTTTTTTCTTCACAGACTTCGCGAGTCTGAAATCAAAATCGAAAACGTCGAACGTCAAAATACTAAACTCGAGCAAGAAAAGGCAGATTTAGAAAAGGAAAACGAGGAATTAAAAGAAAAAATTAAGCAGAAGGAGAAGGAAAATGAAGAAGTTTTAAAATCTATTGCAGATTTGTAAAGAATTCTTATAACAATTCATATCTATTAGTGGAATCATATTTGTATGTATATTATTTTTATTTATTTTGAAAATACTTTTCTAATAGATTATACTATAACCATTATGTTACATATATTACAGATATATTTTATTATTTTTCTTTACTGGTTTTTGTCGGACTTTGTAGACATCATTCTGTTCTTTTGAAAAAGAAAATCAAATTCCGAAAACATCACATTACAACTTTACACTCATTATTGATGCAAATTGATTATCAAAGTTCATTTATTATAATATAACAATATACGAATCATTGCTTACGATTAATAACGGAATTGTCGTTATGACAAATTTTTTTTTTTTCCGGCACCAATTTGCATTATGTAATATATACGCAAGGTTGACCAAATCAGCTAAATAAACGAGTCAGTATCTATGTCTAACACAAGGACTTTGCATTATTCTAGTTCTTTTTAGAAATTTAAATATCGATGCATTGCGTGATAAATCGAACAAATCAACAGTTCAAACTACCTGCAAATTCAGGTCCATATTTTAAAATAAACGTAAATCATTTGTTATTTAATTGCATTCATATATGTTAAATGTTTATATTAGTGTTAAAAAGAAACATTGCATGAATACCAATTCAAATTTTTAATGAAAGAAATGTATCAAAGTGCAAAATAACATATTCACTTAACCCGAGTTCGCTTAGCAGAAAAATAACATCTGCATTTGAAATAAGATATCATCATCATTATAATGAATTGCTAATATAAATTTTCAAATTAATTATTTAGCTTTTCATATCACACTTAAAATATGAATTTGAATTAATGGTACATATAATCTTATTTATTATTTGTTGATAATTTATCTTATTTATATTATTTAATCCTTATTATATTCATTTTGATGACTAATATTACTTCTGTTTTTTTTTATATAAAAAAGAATTTTTAAATATATATATATAGATTATAAAACTTAGTATTAGATATTATATAATTATTTTAAAATAATTATTTCTATTATTAAGAATAAAAAAAGTCTAATTATTTGATGATTCATGTAATAGTTCTTCATTCTCTTTAATTATAATAATAGCCTAAATAATAAAGTATTTGAAGAAGCTTTTATATAAAAATATATATCTATATTTAAAAAAATTGGCATAGAATAGATGTAAAATTTATTCAGTTATTTTATTAATATTTAAAATTTTTGTATATAAAAGTTTTAAATATTCTTATCAGATTAATATTATACTATTTAAGTATTTTATGTGGTATAATATATCATACTATACTTATTTCAGTCTGATATATTTTCTTAACAACACTCAGTATTTTAATAATCTGTTTGTGTAGTGTAAGCTTTAGATAGCTTTCTTCTATAAAATTAAATTTAGTAAGATAATTATGTATATTTATTTTAATTAATTTTTTATTATTTATTAAAGTATATCATTTTTATTATAAGAAAAAATAATGTATTATATAATAAAATAATTTTAAGATACAAATTTGGAAAATTATATTCTAAAAAATAGGGTATACATATAAACTATACTATACAGTTAGCTAAACCATATTATATAAAAATAATAATAACTAATTATATTTTATTATACAATAATATAAAAAAATTATAATATAATTTAGCTAACTATATAATATAGTTTATCTATAGACCCTAAAAAATATGTGAATTTTTAGCCTACTATATTTTGTTATACAAATTTTTTAATATAAATTTTATTCCTTTTTAATTAAATATAAATCTTTTTACATTAAATTATAAAAAAAGTTGTAATATTTATTATAAATATTAATATTAAGATATTATATTTAAAAAATATAAAAAAATATTAAGTAAAATTTAAATAAAAAAATTTTTTTTTTATAAAAGAAAAATAATTTAGTAAAATAAAAATAAATCATTAAATTTCAATAATAATTATAAATATACTATCTTCAGAAAGTATTTAGTTAGCTAAAATAAATTTATTTATACAAAAATTTTTTAAAATAATATAATATTTAATACTTAGTAAATTATTTTTGATTCTTATATATATTTTAATTTTATATTACCCTTAGAATAGTATCTGAATAGTTGAAATAAAATTTTATTTATTCAAAAATTATATAATATTTAGTATTTAGTAAGCTATTCTTAATTTTTAATATATGTTTTAATTCTACATTATCCTTAAAAAAAGTATTTAACTAATAAAAATAAAATTTTATTTATTTAAAAATTTTTTAAATATATAACATTTAGTATTTAGTAAGCTATTTTTGATTCTTAATATATACTTCAATTCTATTTAGTATATTTTCTATAAGTTTAATACAAATATGAATGCTATGCAGTAAAAAGAAAAGAGATTACCAAAAAAAATTTTTTTTACTTATAAACTAAATATTATTTATTTTATTTAAATCTATTTCAAATGTTCAATTAAATTAAAGTTTAAAGATTGAAAATACTAATTAAAAGTACTTTAACTTATTTTTAAATAATTCAATTTTTAATATCTCTTGCTATATAAACTGAAGAATTATCATCTTAAAATATATAAGTTTATTTATAATATTTAGATTAAATAAATAACAATAAATTATTTTCTAAAATATCAATATAATTTAACTAGTTCATTTTTCTCTCAATTTTCACTAATAGTTCTAATTTTTTTCTAAAAATATTCTTATATTATAATATTATCATCATTATGTTTAACTGTATAAATCAAATTTTTAATATTATATTAGATACTATTTTCTCATTAAACATGTTTAAGTCTATCATTTTTAAAATGAGTAAACTATGATTTATCACTTTAAATCATTGATTCATTTTTAAATTGATTAATTTTATTACTTTATATATTATTTTAATTGATTTTTATATTATGATTCTATAAGAGATAGTTTTAACATAGTATTCATAAATGAAAATCTCATTTGATGAAGAATTTTCTGAATAGTATCTTATGAAACTTTTCAATTTTTTAAATTCTAAAAATTGTTATAAATTTCACTAAGAAAAGATCAATTATTTTTCTATAATTTCCTTTAGTATCTGATGATTATTATTATTTATAAAATGTGATCTTTCAATTCTTCTAACATTTAATCCATAATTGAAGTTAAAATATCAGATAATTATATCTGTAATAGTGTTTTTTAAAAATTTTAAAATATGAGTTATAATTTCATAAATTCTTTAGCTATTTGTAAACAGATTTTTTATTTATATTCAAATTCATTTAATTCATGATTTTTCATGTGAAATAGTATAGTTTTAAAAAAAAAAAAATGTAAAAATCAAAAAGTTTATATTTTGTTTATTAAAACTGATTTATACATTATTATAAAAATCAAGGGATTTAATTAAAAAAAAGATTGGTTAGTTAATATATTTGATCTTAAAAATTTAAAAAGAGTTAGCTAGGTACTTTTTTAAGAGTAATATATTTCTTTTATTCTAAAATATATTTGAATTTATGATTGTAATTATTTGTAAATGTATAGGATTTTTGTAATAGAAAATGAGTTTATATTTTTATTTTAAATATATTTTAGCCTAAAAAAAATCGTATATCAATATAAAATGTAATAAAGTCTTAATTTTAGGTCAAAAATTTTTTCCAGAATCCCATTTTCTAGCAAACTTCCCATATATAGACAAAAAATTTAGTATTAAATAATCTATTCAAATTTTTTTTTCTTTTTGTAAAAGTTATTTTTTTTATTTTATCTAATAATAATAACATTTAGTCGAATTTTTTTTTTATGATTACTATTTTAATTTTTTTTTTTTCCTCCGTTATAAAGTTCTATGTCTACACAAAGGATTTTTCTTCCATTTCCGTTAAAATATCAAACTAATTCTTGCAATAAAATTGATAATATAATTAGTTATACTGAAGATTTAATAAATTTTTGTAAACAATATAATAGCTTAGCAGAAGCTCATATTGTAGATTTTTTCATAAATGATACTTGGGAAATTATACCAAAAGAGTGGAGAGACGTATTTGAAGTTGAGCTCGAAAATATAATTAGAGAAAATAATTATGGAAGTAATAAAGAAAGAAATTTTGTGAATAAAATGATTAGACTTGCTAGTTTTCATGAATATGAGGTAAAATAATAATAAAAAAACGTTGGCTGAAAAGTAGATAAATTGAAAAAATATATATTTTTGTTTTTATAAAATGATAGGAAGATTGGCCCGAGTCTTTGAAAAAATTTATTAGAGATACTAAAGAGTTGATGTTGTCGCGTGATATATCAGTTGATGGTAAGATTAAATCAAATCCTTCTATTATATATATATATATATATGATTAATAATGTGAAAATTTTAGTTAGACGGATGGAATGCGAAAAATCAATTGATAAACGTATATTACCGGGAATGAATGAAAAAAAGTTGCACGAGGTGATTATTTTGGTTATTTTTATTTTATTACAAATCTATTCTTTTTAATATAGTCAATCATTTCCAGGTTAAAATATTAAGTAACTTAATAGCATCATTAGCAAAGGAGAATAAAATCAATTCAATTATTGACTTAGGGGCGGGTCAGGTAAGTACTTTTATACAACTTGTACCTTTATATCACGGTACTACTTATAGAATGTTAATTATCATCATTTTATAGGGATATTTAAGCAGAGTATTAGCATATACACATAACCTTTGTGTATGTGCTATAGATGCAAGTAATGTGCAAACATGTGGCGCACAAAAATATCAATTTCGTACTGAAAAAAGTCTCGGATTTTTACGTAAAGATAAAAACGAAGAGGAAAGAAAAAGAAATGGATGTTTAAACCATGTTACACAACATGTAACATCTGAAACTTTGACTAGTCTAATAACAGAATGGAATAAAGGTAGTAACAAGCATATTGAAGCCAATGAAAATACGGGTTACGTTAGAGATGTTGAAGCTGCCACGAATGCTAAGGACGTCAAAGAGAAAGATCTGGAAGTTGAAACTTGTTCAAATAAACAGGTAGAACAGGATGATGATAATTATTTAATTTGCGGATTACATTCATGTGGACAATTATCCAGTACGATGTTGGATTTATTTATTAAAAATGAAAAAATTAAATGTGTAACAAATGTAGGATGTTGTTATCATCTACTTGATGAAAATGAAATTTTTGAACACGGGAATTCAAATGGTACTACAATTTAATTAACGTTTTTGGTATAAAGAAATGATTTTTTAAAAATATACATATTTATTTTATTTTTATATGAAATTAGATGAGAAATATTCATCATTTCCGTTAAGTAAATTTTTTAAAGAAAAAAAATTTTATATGGGATCAACTATTAGACATCTTGCATGTCAAGTACCATCTAGATGGTCAAATCAGCAAGAATCAAGTATTAATGCATTTGAACATCACTTTTATCGTGCATTATTACAAGTTAAGCTTTTCCTTTTTCCTTGATAACATTTTTTAAAATATAAAGCTAACTCTCATTTTTTTCTCTCCTAGTATATTTTATTTAAGAAAGAATTAATCAAAGATACGCCAAGAATAGGAAAATTACGCCGTCGAGATTTTACATCATTTTCAGCGTATTGTGCAGCTGCACTAAAAAAGCTATCTCTACCATTAAATTGTATAACACAAGTAGAATCAGAACATTATTATCATGAATACAAAAAAAATGGATTTATGCATAAAATTATTATATTTTGGACATTAAGAGCTTTGTTAGGACCTTGTTTTGAAAGCATTATATTGTTAGATAAATGTTTATATTTATTTGAATATAGTATAGTAAGGGAAATTAAATGTTTTGGTATATTTGACGAATTAAAAAGCCCTAGAAACATGGTTATTGTTGGATTAAAATAGATTGATATCATCAAATATAAATATGAATATATAATGATCTTTTTTTTTTTTTTCTTTAAACTATTGAATGATATACGCGTTCAACAGTTTCTAAAGCAAGTTTCACTGTGCTTTCAACAATTTCCTTTAAATTAATAAAGAAAAAAAAATGAATTAATTTTTAATATAAAGAAACGCGTTTAAACACATTACTTTGGATGACTTACTTTAACGGATAATTCATTGTGAATTAATCCGATGCCAGTACCGGCATAAATGACCTAACAAAAACACAGCCGATTAAATCGATTTCATTAATTTAAATCCAGAAATTCATTTAATACATACCGCTCTAGAATAATCTTTTTCTAAAGTAGCTTCTTTATAAATCCTTTTTCTTTCATTGATGCCATCCTCTTCATCAGCCAATTTTTCCCATTCTTCGACAGTCTTATTTTTAATCGCTCTACCGTCCCATTGAGAATCCCAAACATTCTTTTCTTGTAATTTATCAAATAATTGCGTTCTAACAGTATTTTTACCTCCATCATTAGTGTCGATAATACACTGTTTAGCATTTTGATGACTAGAAGATTCTTTACTAACTACAAATCTTGTACCCATTACAACCCCATCTCCACCAAGCATTAAGATTGATGCCAAACCTCTGCCATCAGAAATTCCTCCTGCAGCTAACACAATTGGCCTTTTCAGTTTCTCATCATTGATACCCCTGGACGAATATATTTGATTTAATTGATCAATAGTTTCAGGTATTAAAGTTGATGTAGATGAATTATTCATTAATCCATGACCACCACTTTCATTTCCTTGCACGACAATCACGTCTGCTTCGTTATTATATGCATATATTGCTTGTTCTATAGTCTGTACTTGAGCAAAAATTTTCGTATTAGGAGATAATGAACGTACTATGATAACATATTTTTCAAAATCACCAAATGAAAACCAAATAGCTATTGGTTTATAAGAGAGAGATAAATGAAGGACTGATCTGGAAAAAGGTAATGATAATTGAGAGTCTAATGCGAATGTCATAAATCCTATTCCAATTGGTAAGTTGCCATTAGTTGGTTTAATGTGAGGTTGTAATAATTCGTGAGCCGTTTTTAATTCTTTTTCGAATTCTTCATAAGACAAATATCCTAATGGTTTGAATGGTTTTGTATGATCGATTAAAATATGATCAAAACAAATTTAAGGGAAAAAGAATGATTAAATACAAACCAGTCTGTAAAAAGCCCAAACCTCCTGCTAAACTAACTTCACTTGCTAGTTTGCCATTAGTTATTTTTGCCATAGGAGCTTGAACAATTGGATGTTTTATGCCATATTCTTTAAATAATTTAGTAAATTCTGTATTAAATGACATTATTATTATATATTAAATACAAAATTTTTACAAAAAGTTTTATAATCATTATTACAGAACAGAACGAGTGTATTTATAATAAAAAGATAAAAGAAATAAATTGATTACTAAGTTTCATTGATTCAATGCTTGTTTTTAACGATTGTAGATCCTTACTGCAAATACATATTGCTCATGAAAAAGCGTTATTATATATCATTATAAATTATTAATCAATAAATAAAAGTATTATTAATGCAAAGTGAGAGATTTAAACTCTAAAACAATTCATCATCATCATCAGATAACGGTTTGAGTATAAATCTTCGTATCACATCTTTTTTTGGTGGTGGTATTGAGATTTGATCTTTAGGTTCTCTCTGCAATGCAAGTGGCGTAGTCGGATCAAGAATTTCTAAATTCTCCTGTGGTGGATTTCGTCCACCATCTTCACAATGAACGTCCAATTCCTCGCTTGTATCATTATGGAATTCATTGTTGGTACTTGCTTCAGAATCAACCCTGTTGACAAATTCTCCCATTTTTTGTAATACAAGGGTGGAATTATCTGGAGTTGAAGTCAATATAGGAAGCATATCATGCCAGTCTTCAACTTCGCTACTATCGTTACTTTGTTCAGTGTCGATATCTTTTTGATTAGCAATTTCATTATCGTGCTAAAATTAAACCTAATTAACATCTTTTTAAATTTTATAATAAGGAAATTTTTTTTTTTTGATTTACCTCATCTTCATTTGCATTATCATTACCAATTTTAGTGAAGCTCGCTTGATTTTCAATCTTTTTATCATCTTTATTAAATTCTTTATTCTTTTTCAATATACTCCGTTGAATGTGATTTTTATCGGATGAAGTACCAACAAACTCTTCTACTATAACTCTTTTACCTAGTAATCCCCTATTAACAGATTTTGATTTCAATGCTCTTTCAGCAATTTCTTTTTGTTTTCTTCCACCACCTCCACCACGTTTTTTATTATTTCTTCTCCTATTATTCTTCGATTCTTCTGTAGCGAAACTATTTTGATTTCTCTTTCCTATATCAGAATCCCTTTCAAACTTCTTGAAATCGGTATTTTTGGATACTTTATTATTCTGCTGTTGCAATTCTGAAAACTCATCAAAAACGTCATTTAATTTTCTATATGAAGTTGCTAATGCCAATTCATTTTCACTAATAATATGTCCTAAAATAAATGGTGATGGCACACCTTGATTTTTCTTTTCAGTATTCTCTTGTAATTTTAAATCGGATGAGGCATCTACGTTAGCTCTTTTGATATTAGTACTGCGCCATCTAACTACAGATCACATGACTAAAGCGACAGCTTACCTTTGCCTATATCGAGCATTGGTTCATTTTGTTGATTTCCTTCAAACATATCATCATTTTGTATAACGTCGATCTTATTATCATTAGCTTTTCTTTTTTTATAAGTAAATTTTGGTTGAAAATCATTTGTAGTAGAAGTAAAATTGGTTATATTAAAAGAAGACATTCGAATGGAAGAAATGATTTATACAGGGGTAGCTAATTCGATAATTTAAAAAGAGAGAATTTAAACTTTTTTTTTTTTTATCAATAGTAGTTCGCCTTTTAGCCAATCATATTTCATATCACATGATCCAGAAGTTTATACAACTGATAATACGCCGACCTCCAGAAATGGAAATAAAATTCCAAACAGCAACTTAATTATTTCGATCTGCGCAAACTTTTTTTTTTGATCAGAGAAAAATGGCTACTTTTAAATTCTGTAAACTATGGTAAATAATACAATCGAGCACAATTCTTTATCTATTTCTTAAGGTTAACGCTCTTTATTATCATTAACAGCAGTAATTTGTTATATCCAAGAGAAGATAAAGAAGCTCACAAATTATTTTATGCCTGTCGTAATTGTATTCATCAAGAAGAAACCGAAAACAAATGCGTTTATAGAAACGAGATTATGCAATCAGCGAAGTACTTTTTTTTTTTTTAAAAAAAAAAAAAGAAAAAAAAAATTTTTTTTAAGTTAAATCAAATAAATTTTAATTCATTAAAGTGAAACTACTACAATTATTCGGGACATAGCTTGCGATCCTACGTTGGTAAGCAATATTTTTATTATTATATTATTATTATTATTTGGTATGAGTTATAAACAAAATATTTTAAAGGCACGTACGGAAAAAGAATGTCCAGAATGCGGCTACACAGAAGCAGTATATTTTGAACAGCAGTCACGTCGTTCGGGTCGTTCAGATACCAAAATGGTATTATATTATGCTTGTGCAAATACTGAATGTGGATACCGTTGGACGGATCTTAATATTGATAATAAGCCGAAACAACAAGATGAGGATAATATATCTGAAGGAGGATATATTGAAGATGAGAACTACATGAACGAAATGTTATATACTCAAGGACTAGAAAGTGCATATCAAGGTATATATATTTCTATACAGATTATATATATATATATATATTTCATATATTTACTTACATTACAATTCAAATTTATGATTTTTTTTTTTTGGTTTAAATAAAAAATTTCCGATTAGATCCTATGTATTTAAATAATAATAATACAACAATTCTTGAACCTGAAATATCCGATCCTACATCTAATTTACAAAAGCAAGAATATCACAATCCAGAAGATTGGTGATTTCATTTTTCCCTCATTCCAAAGCCCCAGCACTTTTCAATTTAGAAATTAAATCATCTACAGAATCTACTTTAGTTCCACCTTTTCTAACTGGTGGATCTGTTACAGAAATATTTTCTAATCTTGGAGTAACGTCAACCTTTAATTGTTCGGGTGTAAATTTTTCTAAAGGTTTTTTCTTTGCCTTCATAATATTAGGAAGAGTAACGAATCTAGGTTCATTTAACCTTTATGAAATGATAAATAAAAATAAAATTATTGTTTCTGATTAAAAATATTCTTTTTTTTTTTTAAAAAAAGAAAAAAAAATTACCTTAAATCAGAAGTCACTATAGCCGGTAATTTGCTGCTAATAGTTTCCAAACCACCATCAATTTCACGCGTTACTGTAAGCTTGTCACCATTTATCTCCATTTTTGATGCAAAAGTTGCCTAAAAAAAGAATCAAAAAGATAAATTTCATAAAGAAGCACATGCTAAAGAGTGGCTTACTTACCTGAGGCCAATTCAAAAGTCCAGCTAACATTTGACCAGTCTGATTAGCATCATCATCAATAGCTTGTTTGCCAAGAATAATTAAATTTGCTTGTTCTTTTTCGATTATAGCTTTAAATAACTTTGCAACTGCTAGAGGTTGTAATGTGTTTGTCGTCTCACTATCGTTTTTACCCACTTCAACATGTATAGCTCTATCTACTCCCATGGCTAAAGCTGTTCTAAGTTGTTCTTGTGATTTTGGAGGTCCACATGTTAAAGCAATAATTTCTTTTACTACATTATTACCTAATTTCTCTCTTAACCTTAATGCTTCTTCTACTGCAATTTCATCAAATGGATTCAGAGAATGCTTAACATTTGCCGTTTCTACTGCTGATTTCGCTGAATTAACTCGGACCTTTACTGCATAATCTATTACTCTTTTACATCCTAGTATTAAATACAAGAGAAAAAAAGATTTTAATAATAAACTTAATTGAAATTTATTTATGTATGGACTTACCGACAAGAATTTTTAAATTAGACATCGTTTAAAATTTTTTTGTTGAAAAGGAATAAGATTGCATTATTATTTTTTTTTTTTTTTTTTTTTTTTTTTGATCAATAAATTATGTATTGGTTAAATGGATTTTTTTTTTAAAAAAAAAATTATTAATTTTTAT